TTTTCAAGAGTTTGACAACTCAGACCTGTATGAATGGAGTCTTATTACACCTTGTTTTCTCTTATTTTATTGCATTGTTAACTGTTTTGTCATTTCATAGGTATCGTACAGGAGTGCATTCATATTGTAGTGTGTGTCATTGTTTAGTTCCATTGTGAGGCTCATTAATAATCTCTTATGTGTATTTTCCAGTCTTATTTATCCATTAATCCATCACCTGGGGCTTGGGTTGATTTTGCTTTGGGCTGTAATGACTGGAGGTGCAGTGACCGTAGGTGAGCAAACGTCTCTGCCCGTCCCAGCTGTCCCTGCTATTGGTGAACACCCCGGGGTGGGGGTGGGTCCTCCTGTCATTCTGAGTTCCCTTTTCCCGAGAATCACCTTCCTGTCTTCCCTCCTGGCTGCATCATTTATGTTTGCCCCAACAGTGCGCAAGGGAGCCCGGTCCCAATTTTTGCCAGTACTTGTTCCTTTCTTTCTTTTTAAATCATTGTGATCCCAGCGGATGTAAAATCTCATCTCTTGTACTTCTGATTCATTTTTCCTTCGTGACTGATCGTATTGAGAACGTTCATGTGTTAGGACCTGCTTGGGTATGTGATTTGCAGAGCTGTGTATTCCAGTCCTTTACTCATGGCTGCACATTTCCATTTTGACCAGGGTCGAAAGCACGAGGGGATTGTATTGTCCCATTTTGTCATATGGTCCTTCTATGGCATCCTGAGCCCACTCCTGCTGGGAGGTCCCTGTGAGTTTCTGTGCACAGAAATGAGCCATCCACCTTCTCTCTGCTGTTGTTTTATTTCTCGTATTAGTGTTTTAATCAATGAGCCTGTAAATAAATGCACTTTTGTTTTCGTAGAACTGGGATGTGCCGGGTTACCTTGAGAGAGTTGCTGTCAGTGCAGCAGGCTCATCATGTCCTGGATGCTGTTGTGTCTTTGCATTTGTTTAATTCATTGTTTACCCCTCCGGGTTTCTTTATTCCAGCGAGTTTCTGCCCTTGGTTCCGCTACATGCATTGCTTACTGTTTTGTCATTTCACTGGCAGCGTACAGGAGCTCCTGTGTGTGTGAACACGGGTGTGTGTTATAGTCTGCTAACTGGGTTTTCCTTTCCAGAGTCGCTTTACTGTGGCTTTCATTAGTTTTCCAAGAATGAATTATAACTAGTTATGACCATTTTTATGTATGTTGTCTTTTTGTTGTTGTTGTTACGTAGCGTCACCCAAACCCATAGTGAATAGGGGACACTGAGCATCTTTGTTAGTCTTTCTCTCACAGGGAATGTTGATGTCGCCTGTGGCTGTCAAGGACTTGTTTTGTGTTGAGGAAAAATCCTCTGAATCCTTTTTTAGCTAATACAAATGGAAATTTATTTTAATGGGTTCCTATTCTGTATGTATGTGGAGGTGCACAGGATTTATTACACAGGAAAGGAAATGATGGAATAAATTTACGGATTTCTTAAGATGTTTGTTTTCTTATACCGTGTATCTTATTTTTCAAAACTCTTTCATTGCTATGATCTGTTTTTTTCTTTCTCCAAAAGAAATATTTATCTCTTCCAGTTGTTTTTCCTCTTCCTTTGATACCTTTTGTTCTGGTCACCATTTCTCCCCTACGGTGATTAAAACTGTCAATAATATCCTGGAGATTCCCAAATTCTTTCTTTTCTTTAATATTTATTTTATGTATGCATATAAACGCTCGGGTGTAGGCCACAGGTGCAGGGGGTGAGAGGATTCACCAGAGACAGAGCGGGGAACAGAACAGGCAGACTGACTGAAATACACTGCTGAGGGGAGCAGTGGGGAGACAGGAGATGTCTGCTGTGCCTTGTGGATATCTCCCTGGTTGGGGATCGAATTCGTGCTGCAGCAGCTGCTGATACCTTCATAGTGCTGAGACTTAAACTCTTGTGCCACCAGGGAGGCCCTGATTCCCAAATTTCTGTTTTCAGCTTAGACTTCCTGATCTATCAGACACATGTTCAGTTGCGTGTGGAATTCCAGCGTCTACCAGCCCGTCATGCGGACAGCATATTAGGAAAACATTCCTCGTACCTCAGCCACCAAGTTATTACCAAGTTCTCGTCCCCTTTGTCCTTCCATTTTAGAAGTGATGACTTGTTCTGTCTTCTTCTGACTCTGTCAGCTGAACATCTTTCCTTAAAATTTTATTTTATATGTATTTTACATCATTTTTTTATTTCTGCACAAGTTATGCATTTTCATCTTGGTTATAGTCCCCATACATCCCACCCCCCTTATTTTAACCCTAATCCCTCCACACCCCATAGTGCATCTCTGGTTTATACTTGCTTGTAGTTGAACATCTCTTACCTTTGCTTTTTCCCACCTCATTGCTTGAACATCCTGGTTTCGGGTTCAGTTTTTGTTTACTGTGAGTTGGAGATACCAGGCTTTGAGGTCAGAGGAGTAAAATATTGGCACAAAGTTGCACATGCTTTTCATTTGTTATGAAGCTCCTTTAGCACATGATGCCGGGTGTATGTCTGTCACACCTGCCAGCTAGGCTATCAGCTCCTCAAGGAGCCAATTTTATTCATCCTTTTATTCTTAGAATCATAGACACTTCCAAATATATAAGGTAAGTTATAGTTCTACTTGTAGGACCAAAGGGGTGAATGTAGAGGCGAGGCTCTTTCAACTGTGAATTCTATACAGGACCGAAGACCCACAAAATAAGATGTGTTTGCACTTGCTCTGTCTGACCCAGGCTGCAGGCCCTGAGATGAGAAATATTCCCTCAGAAGGGATGGTGTCATTTGAAGATGTGGCTGTGAACTTCACGTGGCAGGAGTGGTGGTACCTGAGTGAAGCTCAGAGGACCCTGTACCGGGATGTGATGCTAGAGACCTGTAATCACCTGGTGTCCCTAGGTGAGGAAGCTCCAGTGTAACACTAGTGCAATGCTGTCTTCTGCACCGATAAGTGTGCACTTGCTTATGAAACTGAGTGTTGGTGAGGTTGAACATGGCAGGCAGTGTACATTGTGGGTGTTTCGGTTTTCATTTGCAAAGATTCAGATTGGCCTCTTTTGCACAGCTCTTCACACTGCATTTGTTAGTTTTCAAAGACTGAAGTTGAAATTGATTGAAGACCAACACTGTTTCTCATCACAGGGCACTGTGTTACCAATCCTGAGGAGAGCATCAGGTCAGAGCAGGGATTACAGCTGTGGACTGTGGACAATCCCCCAAACTAGGACCTCTCAGGTCAGGCAGTGCTTGCCAGGCGCTTTTCCAGTGTCTAACCTTGGAGAGTGTGTCTGCATATATCAAACTGATTCTTTATTCAGTTTCCAAATATTAATCTGTTGTGAATTTCATACTGCTCTTTTAATGATGGTTGTCTATGTCCTTAAACCAGTATGCAGTCCCTGATACTGTGGGGATTATTCTGCAGTAATCACATTTCTCTGTTTTCTCTCTTAGTGTATTCTCATAGACTATTTTCTTTAGGTACCTGTTGAGGAATGTTTTTATTCGTTCCGTTTGTTTATGGGAAGTTTAGCCAGTGGTAAATTTTCTGAGGGGAGAGCAACAGTACTCACAGAAGTGATCTTTACATTCTGAAGTTATATGCTCTGAGGAAAGAATCTGTAATAAATACATTTATTAATAGAGAGGTAAAGCCACAGAGGATGTTTGACCAGCATGAGTGAAACAAAGTGGAGGATGTTGTTTTTGTGTGTGTTCCATACGCATCATTATAGAGATTAATTCTTTCAGAGCTCAGGTGAGGTGAATGGGTTGCACTGACATGTCATATCTATAGTTCCCTCTGCAGTCTGGGATAGAGGCTATGTATTGCTATTGGAGATGTCACTGAGCAGGTGACTAACTCAAAAGGGATAGAGAGGCGTTGACTGGAGAGTTATTTAGAACATGAGTAGTGTTTCAGGGCAAGCCTTGTGACTGCCCTCATAGTAATTGTGAGGCTGAGGAGAACCCAGAATTGTTCAGCGTTGAAAGGGATGTTCTGTGACATGGGTGGGGGAACCTGAGGTGATGGTTTCTAAAGCCATGGCACCAAGAGTTTCAGGTTGGGGGCTCATACCTTGGGGAACAGTGTGACCTGTGCAATTCCACCTTCTCATGGGAATCATTTGGAGGAAGGTAAAGGAATCGATGACTGTGTGATGTAGCTGAGAGTCACACACGACATAAAAACTGGAGCTGCTATGAACAATGTAGAAACACAGGTTCCAGGGAGTGCGTTGAGAACACCAGGCTGTTGCTCTCAGAAGGATGTGAGAAAAGACTTTAATGCTGATAACACAGGATGGATGCAGAACTTTTTTCCTATCGCTTAGCAGGAACGTGGGACACAATGATGAGGCGGAGTTTGCTGCATGTATTAGGATTCTGAGCCTTATGTGATATGATATTTAAATATGAACTGACTGGTCTCTTCCGTGGAGGGAAGCACATGCCTCTGAGAACCTCTGCAGGTGACCGTGGCCCGGGCCGGGGTCGAAAGAAGAACTAAGGAAATGGAGAAGCAGAGTCCTTGTGTCTCAGCAGGCCTCTTGCTTAAAGTACCTGGGCAATGACTGGTTCTCTCAGTCCACAGGTTTCTGGGAAAGCCATGGCCTCTGCAGGACTTGGTTATTCATAAAGTACCCTCAAGAACTGCACAGGGTCAGTCTAAGAAAGAAAGTGTGTAGGATTTATGTTGGGTGAAATGCTTCTGGTTGAAATTGACAACTCTAGTTAAAAGACTATATTTACCAAATATTTATGATTTTATAAAACCATTGTGAAATTAGATTTACTGCTTTGTTATCCTGGTTTGGCATTAGAAAATCTGGGCCTAGGGATTAAGTCTCTTAGCTCTCACTATTATGGCCTGAGTTTGATCCACAGTGAAGGAGTTCACCGACTTTGGCACAGCAAATCTCTCCTGTCTCACCCGCTTCTCCCCTCAACAGTGTATTTCAGTCAGTCCGCCTGTTCTGGTCAACACACTCCCTTACAGCACGCTCCCCTACAGCACCCCCACGCCTGCACCTCTGGCCTACACCCCAGATCCCCTATGCCACAGTAAAAAATACCAAAAAATCTATTCTCCCCATAATTTACTACGGGCAAAAAGCATGAATCAGAAAATCAATACCTGTAAATTATGTTGTAATATAGGAACTTTCGTGCCGCTTAGTAGTATTCACTCAGAATGCTTACTTTTTAGAGACATGGTCATTTTTATCTCACTTTAGATGTCCATACTGTGGATCACCTGACTCAGGACAGCCCTGCAAATCAGGTCAGACATGTGTGGCAAGTTCTTACCACCAGCAGCAAAATACCATCCAACGAGAGAACTGACTTAATGGAAAAAAGCAATTTGTACTCAATTCATTGTTTGAACCATAGTATCAAAAATGAAAACAATTCAGCAATGATGTCTGAGAACTTTTCTATACATAGGACCATGATGATTCCTGGTGAGCCTCATGAAGGGCATGCTGGAGAGAACGAGGAGGTCTTTAGTAAAATGAGAGAACCCATCAAGTATCCTGAGCACCTTAGTCACCAGGTGATTCAGAACTTTCAACAGCCTTTTGAATTTCGTGAACAAGGAAAAGTCGTGAGTGAAGAAACAGTATTCACACCTGGAGGAGCCCTTCTGGAAGGGATTGTCCGTAAATGCAATGATTGCAGGGACACCCGTGATGAGGTACCTTTCGTTGTCCGAGACAGAACCCAAGGAGGACAGACTCGCTGCAGTTGTAATGAAAAGGGGAGAGCTGCGGAGATGACTCCAGTGCATTTGAATCTTCCTAGGTATGTTGAACACGAGCAGCAGGAATGTTTTGAAAGTGGGGCCAGTCTCAGCAACACATTTCACACCTATCCGCGTGAGAGTACCCAGTTAGGACAGAATAATTTGGGATATAAGAGATATGGTGAAGTGGCCTCTAAAACCTCTGTTCTGACTGAACATCAGAAAACACAAGCAGACAATCAACCTGATGAGTGTGGGGGCACCGCTGAGATTTCCTTACAGAGGGGATACCAGAGAAATCTCACTGCAGTGAAGCTGTTTGGCTCTAACGATTATGTGAAAACTTACTCATGGAAGACTGCCCTCACTTTACATCCACAGTCTCAAACGGGAGTGAAGCGCTACCCGTGTCAGCTGCATAAGGAAACTTTCAGGTGGAAATCTGCTTTTAGTGTCCATCAGAGAACTCATACAAGGAAGAAACCCTATGAATGTCAGGCGTGCAGGAAAGTGTTCTCCCGTAAGTCAGTTCTTGTTCTACATGAGAGGACTCACACTGGAGAGAAATGCTATGAATGTGAAGGGTGTGGGAAAGCTTTTTCCAGGAAGTCTCACCTTACTGAGCATCAGAGAATTCACACTGGAGAGAAGCTTTACGAATGTCAAGAGTGTAGGAAGACTTTACACTGGAAATCATCCCTCAGTCACCATCAGAGAAGTCACACTGGAATGAAGTCTTATGAATGTCTAGGGTACAGGAAGACTTTCCACCGGAAATCATCTCTCACTGAACATCAGAGTGGTCACACTGGTGAGAAACGCTATGATTGTGAAGGGTGTGGGAAAGCTTTTTCTAGTAAGGCACACCTTATTAGACATCAGAGAATGCACACTGGAGAGAAATGTTATGAATGTGAAGGGTGTGGGAAAGCTTTTTCCAGTAAGTGTTACCTCAGTGAGCATCAGAGAATTCACAGTGGAGAGAAGCCTTATGAATGTCAAGAGTGTAGGAAGACTTTCCTCTGGAAATCATCCCTCAGTAAACATCAGAGAAGTCACACTGGAGAGAAACTCTATTATTGTGAAGAGTGTGGGAAAGCTTTTTCCTGTAAGTCACACCTTATTAGACATCAGAGAAGTCAAACTGGAGAGAAACCCTATGAATGTGAAGGGTGTGGGAAAGCTTTTTCCAGTAAGTGTTACCTCAGTGTGCATCAGAGAATTCACAGTGGAGAGAAGCCTTATGAATGTCAAGAGTGTAGTAAGACTTTCCAATGGAAATCATCCCTCAGTCAACTTCGGAGAAGTCACACTGGAGAGAAGTTTTATGAATGTCAAAAGTGTAGGAAGTTCATACTGGAGAGAAGCCTTATGAATGTCAAGAGTGTAGGAAGACTTTCCAGTGGAAATCATCCCTCAATAAACATCAGAGAATTCACACTGGAGAGAAACCCTAGGATTGTGAAGGGTGTGGGAAAGCTTTTTCCCATAAGACACATCTCATTAGACATCAGAGAAGTCACTCTGGAGAGAAACCCTTTGATTGTGTAGGGTGTGGGAAAGCTTGTTCTAGTAAGCCATACCTCATTACACATCAGAGAATTCATAGTGGAGAGAAATCCTATGAGTGTCAAGAATGTGGGAAGGCTTTCTGCCAGAAATCATCCCTCAGTAAACATCAGAGAAGTCACAGTGGAGAGAAGCCTTATGAGTGTCAAAAGTGTGGGAAAACTTTTTCCAGTAAGCAAGCTCTCACTGGACATCAGAGATGTCACTGGACAAAATCCCTATGATTGTGAAGAGTGGGAATACTTTTCAGGAAGTCAGCCCTCACTACGCATGACAAACTCCACACTGGATGGAAATGCTGTGAATGTCAAGAGTGGACAGGCAGGCCTCCCCTGGTGGTGCAGATGGTTGAGCGCAGCACTGTGAAGCTGTCCGTGGCCTTTGCGGTGGGAGTTTGATTCCCTGGCTGGCCAGGAGCAGCCCCATGGTGCGGCAGACCTCTCCTGTCTGGGCCGCTGTGTGTATTTCAGCAGTGTATTTTGGTCAGTCTGCCTGTTCTGTTCCCCGCTCTGTCTCTAGTGCATCCTCTCACCCTCCCACACATCTGGCCTGTACCCTGGTTCTTGTATGCTTGAATGAATAAAAATCTTTTAAAAAATATTTAGACTTAGGAGTTCAAACCACATCATGCAGCTGAGAGCAATGGGAACTGACATACAGTTTCAATCCTAATTGCGTGGAGTTACCTGGTTCACTCTGTTCTCCCAAGTTCATGCTTGATGATGTTGCTGTTCCTGTTGCTGTTGCCTCTAGTATCCTCTTAAGTTCCTGTGTGATGCTATGCCTGTCCACAGCAGCTGTCTTTCTACATGGCACACTGCATGTTGCGTGGGTAAGTGATCTCTCTGGGTTTTCTAACTTAGTCGTCACGTTCTGTCCAGTACTGTAAGTCTCTATGGTGCCCCCCAATGCTGGAATTTCTCACCACAAAAATGTCCTCCTCTAGAAGGAAACGTTGAACTGTGTGCTATTGGCTATAGGTTGAGGTCTGCAGATGTCTTTACCTACCTTTCATGATGAAGGTTTTTCAGGGTCTCCCTGGTGGTCTTGGTTTCAGCCCCAGCTATTGCCTACTCTGGCCAGGGTTTCAGCCCCAGCTAGGGAGCCGCCCCACATATGGCCACAACAGGCCTCTCCTGTGTCACCCGCTGCTCCCATTAGCCAGGTATTTCATTGGTTCTGCCTGTTTGTCACCACACTCAGTATCTTGTGAATCCTCTCACCCCCTAACCTCTGGTCTACACCCCAGTTCTACAAAATAAGGGAATTTTGTTGGAAGATTAATTCTGCATACAAGATCTGGGGTGCAAGCCAGAGGTATGAGGGGGTGAGAGGATTCTCCACGGAGAGAGTGGGGTGCATAACAGGCGGATCTACTGAAATCCACTGCTGAGGGGGGCAGTGGGGACACAGGAGAGGTCTACTGTGCCCGTGGGTCACCTCCCTGGCCAGGGATCGAACTCATGTCTGCAGTACTGAGAATAGCTTCATAGTGGTGAGACTTCACCCCTGTGCCTACTGAGGCCCCTTGAAATTTTTTTAAAGGAAAGGATTCTTGCCTGTTAATTTTTTTTATTAAATTATTGTTCATCTTTGTGCAATATTGGATTGCTCCCCTTCTGTATAATTCTTGCAAATGTCCTGTCTGCACTGCCCTTTGACCCCTCACCCCAGGCCCTGGTGCTCCTCCTCCCCTCCTGGCCCCTCTTCTGCCCCATCCCCTGCTGGCGTCTCAGCTCTGTCATCTGCCTGCTAGTTTTGTCTTTTTCCCCTGACCCTTTCTTTGTTCCCCTGTATTCCTCCTGGAGGTGATGATGTAATCCAGATCTTTTTCCTTCACTCTTTGTTCAGAACATAATCCCTTCCACCGTTGCTGGCCGTGCCCTGAATGTGGTCTTTGTCAGAGTCAGTTCATAGCTTGGGGTGAGTGCTCGGTGTGGAATGTGGTGGCTGAGGAAGTTCTTGATGTCACTCTCGCTACCACTCCCCCCTCAGGGGCCCCGGGCACCTTCTGGTGTGTTTCTTTGGCTCCTTGGTGATGCCGAGCGGAGAGTTTGTGCAGCAGGCCCGGAGTCTGAGGCCTCGGGTGTGCTCTTACTCATTTCTTGTCTTTGGTGCGAAAGTACTTCCAAGTGGAGCCCAGAGTTCCAGAAGAGCCAGAGATTTACTCACAGGATTAAGGACAAGAAAGCTCCCTGAGCAGAACAGTCCCGAGGGTTGTCCGCTGGGGCCAAGAAGCAGGGGCTCCCATGGCTGTGGTGGGCAGGGAGCGGGTACTGGTCATGGGGGTTTCTGCGGCGTGTCTCTTGCTGAGGGGCTTGGCCTGAGGCCTCTCCCGAGTCTCCGAGGCCCGCTGAGTTTGCCCCCGTTATTTGCCTGCATGTCCACACATAGCCTCGGTCTGTGGATTTGCAGTCGTGCCCTGTGTCGGCTCTGCGGCGTCCTCTCCACAGGGCTGGGCTCGGGGCCCGTCAGGCGGGGATTGTTTCTCTGATCATGGATTTGGGACTTGGGCGCCTGCTCCTCCCTGCCCGCGCCCTCTACGCAGATTCCTCCGTCAGGAACATCTCTACGGCCAGAGCCCCGTCCTGTGTTTCCAGGTCGGTGACTGACGGGGTGTCTGTCCCCTGAGAACATCTTCCCTGATTCATGGGGAGGTGCATTGGTCCCTTCAAACTCCACCTGGAGTGCCGGTGCCACGGCCCGTATTCATTAACGCGCCATGGGAGGTCGCTGAAGTTTTCACCCCTAGGCCGCAGGCCGCTTTCTACAATGCTGCAGGCTCCAAGGTGTCCTTGAGCGCCCATTAAAGATGGCATCGGGCCCCTCAGCCTTCACCTCAGACCTGGTCCAAAGAGGCCTGCAGGTTTGCTAAGACAACGCTCCTCTGCTAGTGCCACATTCCCTGGAAGTGTCTGTTGCTGTGATGTGACCCATGTCGGCTGTTGCAGCAAGGGTCACTCTCTGCTCTGAAGGTAAGGGGTTCAGGGGACTTGTGTCACGTCCCCCTACAGGTGTGTTGGGGCATCCAGGGGTGTGGCGGGTGAGGCCTCTGTGGATGGGTGGGCGGCCCAGGTGGGTGGTGATGCTGTCAGCGGAGGCCCAGGAGAGGCCTCCACCGTGCTCCATGGGGACCTTGCCCAGCTCAGCCGCATCCCAGGGTCAGGACGCACAGCATCAGCACAGCCCAGAGACACTGTCCACGCTCCAATGGTGAGGACACTACAGGAGCCTTGATCTCCAGGGACAGGTTGTGGACCAGGGCAGGGGAGCAATCCCCAGAGACGAGTGGGGAGCAGAACAGGCAGATCCATTGAAATCCACTGCTGAGGGGATCTGTGGGGAGAAAGGAGAGGTTCTGCGCCCTGTGGTTCAGCTCCCTGGCTGGGGATGGAGCTCTTGCTGCAGTGGCTGTGGACAGCTTCATGGTCTGAGACTTACGGAGCAGGGAGGCTATGGGTCCATTCTTGTGTGGGGCGCTTATCCTTCGGATATGGGGACAAGAGGTGTGTGCTACTTGCAGGTCTGTGTCATCTCCCTTGGTTGCACCCACCCCTAAGTTCATCCCCTGGATGAAAGGGAGTGTACCCATAAGACCGAGGTGGATGGCCGGTCTTGGGCTGTGAGGTTCTCTTTCTCTGGAGAAGCAGAACTGCTCGGGAAGAACATGTTCGTCTTGGTAATGTAGCCAGGCTAGAAGACAAAGAATAGTTTGACTTTTAACCCTTTGCACTCTGAACCATTCTGGACATTGGATACCAGCTACCCGATTCTACTTTGCGGCGGAAACGTGCATTTACAGACCCTCGTATTATTTAGTATAATTTTGGAACCAAGTAACATATTATAATGATATTGGACTTATATGAATTGGGTGACATCGAGGAATGTATATTTGCAAAAAAAAAACAATATTTTATTGTTTATAATTTTGTACAGTATGATAAGTTTTGTAACACTCCTCAATATGCATTGCAGGCTGATTAGTGGAGCTCATCTTTACTACTACTTGTGTTATGAGACTCATTCGTGGTTGGACGCTTTGCCATTGTTCTAATAAAAATATAAATAAATGCATGGGTTGAAAGTTTCTAGTTGTTATTACTAACTGACAAGATAATATTTACCAAAATAGCTTTCACCAAACAATTTATTCACTAAGAAAATAATCATTTTTCCGATTTTCTCCTCATTAGATCTATGTGTACTGCTCGAAGCTTCAAACCAAAATGAGCTCAGCTTTGAAAATCTTTTCCTCCAGATGTAGACTTGTTTATTTGTAATTATATATCTCACTACACAGTGCGCACTATGTTTGAAAACTGACCTCTCTTCTACAAACTCCCCTTATCGCTCTTTTCAAGTAGCGTCGCAAAGTGCTCGGACCGTCATGAGCACGCATCTCACATTCTCGTCCGACACAAAACCCGCTGATATTTCTTGTGTATATCTTAGTAATTTTACGATATTTTGATTTAATTTCTTGTGCCATTTCAAGATAAAACTTCAGGGAAACATGCATGTCTCAAAATGTTGCATTGAAATAACTCAATTCCCCATAATCACTAATAAATCCCAGTGTCCCCTGAAAGGGGATATCCGAGTGATATGCTAGAATTCCAATGTCCCCTGAGAGGGGACAGCGGAGTGCAAAGGGTTAAGCGATGAGCAGAAAGAACACAGGTCTATTTTGGGGATGTATGTAAGCCTTTGGGACACCCTGGTTTCAGAAATAAGAGTTACACGACAGAGTGAGTGTATGTAATGCCACCAAACTCTGCATTGAAAAACATACGCCTTCCTAAGTACAAATAATGAACTAGAAGAGGAAATTAACAAAGTCATCCCACCTACAATTGCACACGCAAAAAAATTAACTGGGAATAAATTTAACAGAGGAGGTGAAAGACTTTTACGAGGAAAACTATCAAACATTGTGGAAAAAAATAATAGAAAGCGTAGAGAAATGGAAAGAAAGACCCAGCTGATGGGGTGGAAGAATCAACATTGTCCAAAGGGCCATCCAACCCAAAGCCCCTTCTAGATTCACTGCAACCCAATAAATATCCCGATGGCATTCTTCAGAGGAATAGAACAAAGATTACTGAGGTTCATATGGAAACACAAAAGACCCCAAATGACCAAAGGTTTCCTGATTAAAAGCGGGGGGAAATGAAGGAGTCACACTTCTGACCTCAAACTAAAGGTAAGGAGCTCCCTGGTGGCCCAGGGGTTAAACACAGTGCTCTCAATCTACTGCCAGCCACTGTGCACAAGTTGAATCCCCAGCCGGCCAGGGAGCTGACTGCCATGTGCCTCAGACCTCTCCTGACTGGCCTGCTGCGCCCCTCAGCAGTGTATTTTGTCATTCGGCCTGTTCTGTTCCCTGCT